CACATGGATCTGCTGAGGGCCTCAGATACAAGGGATCTCCGCTGTTCAGGATCCCAAGGAGGGAAGAAGTATTTGAGATGGGATCAGGACCCAGCCAAGTGAAGTTGACCCATGTCAGGAGGGCCTGAGGAAGGTAGCATGAATCTAGGAGACATGAATGAGGAGGGAGATGGCATTGTGTGTTGCTTCTCACAAACCTGATGGACACCTGTCCTGCCTCGAATGCTAACTGGTCGGCTGGCTTTGGGGTACATGGAGAAGAGCCTCCAAGGCCCTAGCTTAGTCTTACCCTATGGCGATAGGTTCACCGGGCTTCTGTGGCCCTGGCTCACCACTCCTTCCCACTGTTCCTTCGTAACAGGAGCAGTTGCCAAGCTGCTGGTGTGATCATGTGACCTTGTGATTGTCCTGTTTCACCATCCTCTGCACACCAAGAAAGGGATGAGACATGGCCCAGGCCAGAGAGGAAGAGCCAGGCACACTCCTTAGCTACCTACTGGTCCTCTCCTGGGTATCTGGGACCCCAGGGTTAGGAGCCATCTCTGCCACAGGCTGCTAGAGACATGGTGCCAGTCAGCTTTGGGGAACCACTAGGACTTGCTAACAGAGCACAAGTGCCCCCTCTGGAGTAGGTTCCTCGGGAAGAGGACCTAGTGAGGGGGCATTTGGGAGAGATAGGTGACAATGACTGAGCTGGGACTGTTTCTCTCCAGCTAACCAGGCCAGGTTCCAACTTCTGCCCTGCTACTTGGCTACCCTGATTTTATGCATATGCCCCAACCTCCCGGAGCCTCCATTTCTCTGTTGTGACATGGGATCCCCTCACCTCCCTGGAGTACCACAGCCTTGAGAGCATCAGATGGGGCAGTATTATGTTCAAGTCCTGACTCTCTTCCCTGTCTCTATCCTTCCGACTCCTAGCAGGGTCTCCTCTTTAACTGGTTCCTTTAAATAAGTTCTCTGTCCTCTTCTATTGTCACAGGCAGGTGAAAGCTGCATTGGGATCTTGTCCTAGCAGAAGGTCTGGGTTTGGGAGTACTATGCCCTGAATGTGAACCATCAGGGCCGGCCTCTCAGTACCTTCATACCCCATGGATTGGAGAGGATTGTGGGGAGTGTGGGGACCCTAAGGGCTTCAGTTCCTTGTTCTTGATCCTCAAATTCTGAAAAGCTTCCCATCTTCCAAATGGGTCCCCAGGAGCAAGATTAGATGGACCCTAATCCTGGCTGCTCACTCAGGGCTCACTCCCAGCAAGATAGCCCTGATGCTCTTGGGGTTTCACTTGGTGGCCAGGATCCTGTCTCGGGTCTCTGTTCCTTGCTGGACAGGTGGAGGATGGATGGCACTTGGGTCCTATGGGAGAAGGCTATGGTTCTGGGGTGGGAACACTGGCAGTTTAGGGGATGTGTGAATGAGTTCACAAGTTTTCCATGTCTTTCACCAAGAGCCTTAGACACAGGTGACTCTCAAGGTCATTCCTAAAACAACTGCTCAATTCTTAAATCTAGATACAAAACTCTCAGGTCCCCATCAGTGCCAGGAGAGCCTAGCAGGGCACACAAAGTCCCTATACCAGCTTACAGGGGTGATAGCTGTACCAAGAGCTGCCTAGGAATACTGCCCAACAGGGTTGGCCTACCAAAGCTGCCTTCATAGGGGTTGGGTTTGTTCAGGTTTTCTGACACTTCAGCTCACAGGAATACTTTTAGGGGTTAGACTTGCCCCCCAACTCCTCAGCTGTCTTTCCTGAGGGGCCATAACGGCCTGATCTCCCAGACTCTGCCTTGGATTTCTGGGCCCAGAGAGCTCTGCCCTTTGCTGCGTGCCACCAGCACCCACACGGAGCAGCACCCACACTGCCTACCTCCAGCCCCAACACCTGGCAGCCCTGCACCCCCGCGTCTCTCTCACACTTCTGCATCGGGCTGTGGGTGTAGCCAGTGTAAGTCTGCGCTGGGGCAGGGAACAACTCATTTCTCCACTCTGGAGATGTTTTCTCTTTTCTTTTTTCAGAGATACTGTCTCCTAAGAGTCTGTAATTCACTATGGAGTCCAAGCTGGCTGCAAACTCAAGGCAATTCTCCTGTCTCAGCCTTTCACCTATCGAGATCATAGAAAAGCACCCATGTACTTGGCTCTAGATATGCCTTCTACTCCTCCTTCCACAGGAGCCCCCTGCAGCTTGCTTCTCCCTCCCTCCTCCTGCCCCCTGTGGCCTCCCCTCACATCTTCTTTTCCTCTGGTTGCTCTTACAGAGAAGTCCAGACTGCCTCCCTCTTCCCAGCCTGTTACCCCTGCCAGACAGGCAGCCAGAGGTTAGTCCTGCCCCTTGCCTGTCCATCTGTGCTGGACACAGGGCCAGACTTCTCTGAAGAGCCCCTGGTTTTGATGCAGTTCCACCAGTGCCAGAGACATGGCTGCCTCACAGCTATGCATGTTGGTTTTCACCAATATGGCCTAAAATATGAGATGAGTGTATCTAGCCATTCCTTTCGAGTACCTACTATGGGGAAATGGGTCTGAGCATGTTACAGGCACTGTTCCTGATAAAAGATGTCAAGAAAACCATCCTAAGTGTAAACAAGAGCAGAGGCAATCAGAAGGGGAGGTGACCTTTGGCTTTGATGTTCTCCACTGAAGGGTGTTCTGGAGAACAGGATGACATGGAGGTCTGGTGGGCATCTCAAGGATTGGCAGCCTCAGGCTTGCTCTTCAGCAGAGTGGGAACTCAGAAGGGTAGTGTGTGCCATGGCCAGTTCCAGTTACTATTTGTGAAGGTAACAGGTGTGACTTGGAGAGAATGGTCAGGAGGAGTATGTGGTCCAGGCTAGAGATGCTGAGGATGCAGAGGGAAGGGCAGGTAGGATCAAGGGGAGGCTCTAGTACATGTATCCAACCTCTTTATTTCAATTTAAAATTTTACTTATGTGACTGACTGCCTGTCTCTGTCGTGTGTGTGTGTGTGTGTGTGTGTGTGTGTGTGTGTGTGTGTGTGTGACTGAGTGTGGGCTTGTATACTTACATGCAGTGCCCAAAGAGGCCAGAAGAGTGTGTCAAATTCCTAGAACTGGAGTTACAGGTAGTTGTGAATGCCAGATGCAGGTGCTGAGAACCAGCCTTAGGGGTTAGGTTAGGGTTGGGGTTTTATGTTGGTCAGCATTCATAGCTAACCCTGACACAGAGTTCATGGGCAGTAGATTGAACACCCTGATACAGGATGAAAAATCACAGGGTGTGGCCTGGGTATCCTGGTAGGACAGGGAGGGGTCAAGATTTTATGGCCTTCACTTTCTACACAGGAAACTACGAGACCCCAGAGAAGTGACTCACCCAAGTCTCTAGCTAGTCCAGGGGCCCACCCAGATCTCTCAAGGCTAGTGCTATGAGATATGGACTGCCCCACCCACCCACTCCAGCCATGTTGACCACCACTGCACACCAGCACAGGCTGGTGGGCCAGTAATTCACTTAAGATTTTCATCTAAGTTTTTTTTTTTTTTTTTACATTAAGATAGGAAACTTTTGTTCAATTGTAATAGAGTCCTGTGTGTGTCAGTGTGGCTGGAAAGTGTCCAAGCTGGCTTCTTCCTACTCCCTTGAGCAGAGTTCCTGACTGGTATGCCCAGGGCTCTGTAGTTGGTTGAACACTTCACACCTGTCTGGGAGAGCAGTCTTACCCCTGTTTTGATGAGAAGGAATGGAAGCTCCCTGAACATCCCCAACCTGAATGCCTCATTCTCCCAGACCTGGGATCCTTGACATGGATCAGGCAGGATGCCTGCCATTGTCACCTCCACCCTTGCTTGGGGTCTGCTGAGCTCATCTGCTCTTGACCCCCAAGTTGGGTTCTCACTGGCACAGACAGCCTGGAATCTTTGACTGTGAAGGAGGTTGGGGAGCCCAGCTCTTCCCTGGCTGTCATTTCACAGTAGCTTGAGTAGCCTTTGGCTCTGTGAGAGTTCTTGTGAACAAGGAGTTGTCTGTTTATCACTGCCTCCTCAGACAGGCATGTGGGGTGTCCGGTATATAGTGGGTGCTTAGGAAATGCTGGCTGGTTGTAGTTGAACCGTGACTCTGCTCTCCTGCATGTTACTGGGGGCATGCCTGTCCCCCTGTGCTTGGAGATAGCAGGAGAACTAGTGGGACTCGGCCGAAGAGGGCTCTGCGTGAGGGCCTGGGCACTGTGTATTTATGAGGTGTGGCTTAGGTCCAGCCTGCTATGTTTGAGTGGTAGAACCCTGGAGAGGTTATTTTGCCCTGGATGCCACTACATCTTCAACATATAGAATCCAAATTGTTCTCAATGCCTCAAGGCTGTGGCATTCTGTCCTAGGATCATCTTGCCCAGACAACGATTTATGGTACTCTCTGATTTCTACCATTCAGGTGAAGGTTGAAGGTTGTTCCTTCAACCCCCAGTGCAGCAACCCCTCTGGCCAGTCAGTCATCCAAGATCCCTGCCTGAGAGCACACTAATCCCTTGGCCCCTCACCTAAGGAAGGGGTATAGGAGAGTCTGGTTCATGCTAGACTCAGGTGGGGTGGGGCTGATGGTTGAGGCACCCAGCTGAAAGCTTTGATCCATGGTTGAGGCACCCAGCTGAAAGCTTTGATCCGCAGTGGGAGGAGCTTGTGTCCACGTGAAGGGGTCTGGATGTATCTCTGTGGGCACAGCCTTTTCTCCTGGGATGGATGACTGGCGAGGGAGTGACTTCGGGAGACCTTAATGGGAGACCATGGATCCCTTGTGCATGGTGTGTGGGTGTGAGACCATAGTATTGGGTGCCGGGGAGCAGGACTGCTGTGTGGCTCTTTTGGGGTGGCTTCTGAAGGGAAGGAAGGAGGTGGCTGAGAGCGCCCCCTGCACTGGCCCTTTGGTGATTGAGGGCTCCAAGACGCCAGCCCCGCCCTCCCAACGCGAGACCACGCCCATCATTGCCCCGCCCAGATGAGGCCCCGCCCCCGGCCTGCTTTTGCGCTCCGAGCGCTCCACGCTGCGCCGCCGCAAGCAATGGTTCACAGGGCCGGGCTCTGGGCGAGCGGCCCCGGGCGGAGGCGCGGAGCTAGGGAGGGACCCCACGGGGTCGCCGGGCTTGCTGCAAGCAGCCGAGTATAGTCGTAAGGGACGCGGGGCGCGCGTGGACCGGGATGAGCATGAGGACTCTCCGCAGGTTGAAGTTCATGAGTTCGCCCAGCCTCAGTGACCTGGGCAAGAGGGAGCCGGGCGCAGACGAGCGGGGCACGCAGCAGCGCCGGGCCTGCGCCAACGCCACCTGGAACAGGTAAGGCGCGCAGCCCGGAGCGGCGTGGCCAGAGACGGCACCGCGCCACTTTGCGCGCAGCTCGCCCCGCCGCCGGGCCGCGCGCGGGGAGGGAAGTGAGTGCAACGTGTCGGCGGCTCGAGCCCGCGATCGCGCCTCGGGGGCGGGTGGCCCGGAGCAGGAGGCCTCTGCGCCCCCACTTCGCAGGGGCGCCAGCTTCGTGGGGCCCCAGCGGGGCGCCACTGTACTTCCTGTATGCGTGTCCGGCTCTTGGCGCTGGGTGGGCGGTGGCTTCCCCGAGTTGGACCCCGGGCCTCCCAGCTGTCCGTGGGGGTGCGGCAGCTGCCAGACATTCCTTACCGGACCCTTCCGGAGGCCCATCCCGGACCAGCCGGGCGTGGGAAGCCCCTCCCCCAACTGGGCTTTCAGAGCCAGAGTCACAGATACTTCTTTTAGCCGAGTTTCCCAATGGGTCTCTTCGTGGCCTCTTCAAAAATAAGTATTTCCACCCAAAGTAAAATACGGATCGAGGGAGTGTGAGGTAGGCTGTTGAGGGAGGTCTGTGGATGCTGGCTCTCCACCCCCTCCACCTGGCAGTGAAACCCTGCCAGGTGTTTCACCCACTGTGGTCTGCCACCAGGGACGTAGCTGTCACTTGAACACACATCTTCTGTTCATCTAGTCCGTGAGCAACCCGGAGAAGATAAGGCTGCCAGCTAGGACCCTATCTTCCACCCTCCACTAAGCTGCAGACTGCTTGAAAGCCAAGACTGCTTGCCTGCCTCAGTTTCCCTCTATCTTGGGCCTGCACAGTTCTCCTCACTGGGCTGGGAGCAGAACAGTGAGAGAAGGAAGACTCCTTTTGCCCTAGAACTGCTCACTCCTGACTTCATCCCCTTCCTTGTCTAACCAGGGGTTAGTGGAGCCACACTGACTTTTGGCTCAGATTTCAGCTCCCATTTCTCTGCTGCCTGACCTTAAGTAGTTTGCTTACCACTTCTGGTCCTCAGTTTCTTCATCGATAATATGAGTGAGTGTGTGTTGTTGGATTAGATATGAACATGCGTAAATAAGGCTCTGAGCATGGCTTCTGGTACACAGTTAGGGTAGCTACCCTGTAATTCAGAACTTAAGTCAAGGCACATTGAGAACACCTACAGGAGTTATAAAAGCAACTTTGTGGGTACCCTTTCACTCCCATCTGGGGGCCTCTGGCGCAGAGGACTTAGAAAGCACCATACTTTGTGTGGTTGTAAAGGCATCTGCTTTTTGCCATGCAAGGCCTTGCAAGGATTGGCCACCAGGCCTTCCACAAGTTTTTCTTTTGGTGGACTTTCAGACTGCAGAGGCTTGAGAGCAGCTTCCACAGTACCTGAACAGGTCCTGTCTCCAGCCTTTTGGGCTATAGAGGCACCCCCTGCCTGGGGAAGCAGTGGTTCTGTGCTCCAATCCTATGCCAGCCTGTTCAGGACCCTCAGTTCACCTTGTCACATTTTATCCAACAAAGGAGGCTCTAGCCTCCACCCCAGATGAGAGATAAAGCGATGCCCAGAGCACCTAGGACCCATACTGTGCAACATTGCATGATTTGATTCCTAATCCCTTCCCAGACAGGTTACATTCACACAAAGAAGTGAAGAGAGGAGACTATGGGCTCAGAGTCCCCTCGCAGCCCCTGCCTATCTCCCTGCTCCTCTCCTAGTATGTCCTGCCTGCAGGGGGCTACAGGACTTCAGCCCCAGCAGGGTCACAACAGCATTATCACCCTACAGATCCTGGCTAGTCCTCCAAGCTATGGCCCTCATTCTCAGCCCACACAAATGTCCCCTTTTACCTCCCTGACCTCATTAGTGTCCTGGAGCTGTAGAGTCATGCCACACTGTACCACCCCAAACTACAAGAGTGTGTTCTGGCACAACTAAAAGTGGGTGTGGCCTGCCTGTCTGGGGACTCTAGAGAGGGTCCTGGCTTTGCCTCTGCTGGCTCTGCTGTCCTTAGTCATGGTGACTTCATTTTATTTAGTTCTGTCTCTATCTTCAGAGCCTTCTCTAGCCAGGTCTCTATGAGTTTTGGAGGTCTCTATTTGTTTTGTTTTTGCTGTTGTTTCCTGATACTTATTTTTAATTATTGTATGTATATTGTGTGTGCTTGCACACGTGCCTAGTACCTGCAGAGGCCAGAAAAAGGTATTGGATCCCCTGGAACTGAAGTTACAGGTGGTTGTTGGTCACCATGTGGGTGCTGGGAACTGAACCCAGGTCCTCTGTAAGAGCAGCCCAGTATGTTCAATGGCTGAGCCACTGCTCCAGCTCCCTAGTTCTGTTTTGTTTGAGACAAGGTCCCAACATATCCCAGGCTGACCTAGAATTCACTATGTAGCCAAAGATGATCTTGAGCTGGTCTGGTCCTCCTGCCTCCACCTCACCAAGTGCTAAGATTGCAGGCCTGTACCACCATACCTCACCCAAGTTCCTTTTGTTTATGAGGCCATCAGCCACCAATTCAGGGCCACCTCAACCAAGGACCACTTCATCTCTAGGTTTTTAGCCCGTTGCAGCTATAAAGAGTCTCTTTCCCAGTCAGATTGAAGTTGTATACACAAACTCCTGGGGACAGTGTCCAACCCACTACAGTGACAGTGAGGACATCCCCCAAATTCCCTGCACAACTTTACTGTGTCCTAAGATAGTCCACACACTCAGTCATGTGTCCATTAATCATTCATTCATTCATTCATTTTCTCAGTGTTGGCTGGACTAGGCTGAGATCTTGGTTTAGCAGCAAACAGCCTGCTCAGAGCCGGAGGCCCTAGACCAAGTCAGAAAGTATACAAGGGGCTATCAAAGGGGAGGGTGGTGGCACTTGGCTCTTGAGGAAGTAGAGCAGGAGACACTGAACGCTGGGCCTGCCTGCTCCAGCTCCCCATGTCTGCTGGGTGTGCAGGAGCATGGGAAGTTCTCCGAAAGAGGCTGACATGCTGCCTTGTCCCCTACAAGCACCTGGTGTCAAGGAGCCGTTTCGGGGCACCTGCTGCCTTCCCAGAGCTCAAGGGCACAGCAGGCCTCCCCACCAGGCTCAGCGGATCTCTGCTGCCAAAGGTGTGCCCTGTTGTCCCTAGCCTTCCATCCCAGAGGCCTAAGAAAAACTCCCAGATGTCAAGATGGCTCAGTGGTTAAGAACACTGGCTGTTCTTCCAGAGAACCCAGGTTCAATTCCCAGCATCCACATGGCAGCTTACAACTGTAACTCCAGTTCCAGGGGATCTGAATGCCTTCAGGTTAAATAAATTATTAGAAATATATTTTTAAAAAACAATTAAAAAAAAAAAAGAACCCAAAATGCTAGGGGATTACATGGGGGAATCCTAGTCTTGTGAGCCATCATTCAACCAGGGCTGCCTTACCTCTGTCCCCGCCTTAGGCAGGCAGGAGCAGGACAAAGTACACCCCAAAGTGTGGGACCCCTGCAAAGCAAGGTATGCACCCCTGCCCCCAGTCGTCCTCCTCCGGAGTGGGCAGTCCTTGTCGATAAAGAGAATGAGGGCATGAGAAGGAAGGGACCATGATACCCCCTGACAGCAGTGTTGGGGATGCCTCTGAGTTCCTGTCCCAGTTGGGGCAGGGTGAACTGAGCATTAGATTAGAGGTGCCTTTCCAGGACAGGTGGTCCTAACTGAGATGGGAACAAGGAGCAGGGCCCTCTGGAACCTTGGAGAGGGGCTTACTACACTCGATTTACAGTTGAGAAAATTGGGATTCCAAGAGCTGCAGGGATCATGGAGTCCCAAAATGTGAGGGTGGACGGAGGCCAGATCCCACCCATGTTCAACTCTTGAAGTATATTGGAGCCCCCAACCCATGGATTCTTTAAGGGCCAGGTGACAGAGCCAAAGCTTCCAGGCTGGGGTCCTAGGGATATGGGCCTTCTTCACTCACCTTGCCTTGCTCTGCCCTGGGCCCCAGTCTAGGTGTGGCCAGCAGAGCAGTAGCTCCAAAGTGTTCCTGCCCTATTTCTTAGTCTATGGGATGTGGGTTTTCACATGGCTAGGAGACTTAGCAGGTGTGGTTAAATTACAGTTGCTGAGCTGAGGAGATGGCTGTCTAGGTGGCTTTATGTGGTCACAGAATCTGTGATGGGTGGGACACGTTAAAGAAGGTGTGACCAGGGAGCTGAGATCTAGAGGGCTACCTCAATGTCCTTGAAGACAAGGAAGGATCCAGAGCCAAAAAAGGTGCTTCTAAAAGCCAGTTAGGGTGGAACATATCACCTGGAGCGTTCCTAGGAGGCAGCCATGTTATGCTGGGCTTTAACCCAGTCTGGTGAGTGACAAGTCCATTACTTTCCAGATGTCAGAACAGATCAGCTTTCTGTAGAACACTAAGTGGTTTTAGGAGTCATGACATATTCACCCTTGGCTCTTCCTCTTCCCTACTTGGGCCTAGGCACTAAGAACCAGGTCTGAAATCAGGGGCGTGGCCTCCTGTCATCCAGCTTCCAGGTACATTAAGGAGGGCCCCTGGCAAATAAACAAGCCAGTATCTCCATGTCCTCAGATCCTTCTAAGGCAGGCCAGAGAAGACTGGGATCTGGGAAAGATAGTGTCTCCATACCTCCCTGCGGGAGTCTCAGCCTCCTGATGATATTGTAAGGTCATTCTCAGTGGAACCAGGGTGGCCACAAGTGTGGGTCTAGGAGCCTCAGAACTGGGCTGTCCCTCCTCTGGAGCAGTCCATCACAGGCTTAACTTCTGCCTCCCCCTGTGCCCGTCCAGTGAAGGGATGCAGGCTCTGAGACTGGAACCTGGGCTGCCAGCACCGAGAGCCTGGTTTTCTAGTGGAGGCCAGAGAGGAGTAGGACTCTACACCTGAGGATGTCCGCCCCACCCCCAGCCCTCACCCGGAAGTCCCTCTGTTCCTGTGGTTTCCTGGGGACCATCTGCAGATGTCCTGACTGGGCTTGCCACTCAGGCCAGGAGACTGTTGCTAAGATAGGCAGGGTTTCACTTCTCTGTTTCAGGATGACAAATCACATAGGGTCCTCTGGCCTTCTCTACCCGCCCTCTCTCCAAACTGACATTTTTTTTTTTTTTTTTTTTTGGCTTTTTTGTTTTTTGTTTTGCTTTATTTATTTGACTTTGGAAAGCCCAAAGAGCCTCACAGAGCTAGGGAGAGTCAAAAGGAGAAAGATCTAATGTGTGTGCCCCCAACAATGGGGATGGGGGACTGAGACCATTGCTTCATCTCAATTCTGGTTCTGCTGGATAGATAGATGTGTCCCTTGGTCTGCTAAGCCTCTGTTTTCTTCTCTAATTGGGGTCTGACTGTCCCCACCCATATGTGGCCACCAAATAGGCCACATACAGTGAATGGTCCCTGGGTTGGGTGTGGCCAAGGTGTCCTGAGTACCCATCCCAAAAAGGCCTTGTAGGCCCCCAGTAGGTGGACAGTGTGTTCATTCAGTTCATTGTATGGAAGGGAACACCAAGGGCTAGAAGCTAGAGCAGGATGCAAACCCAGGCCTGCCCTTCCCACCATCTAGCAGGCTGGAGTGAGTTCAGGGCCCAAGGGGAGGGTTGGAGGGTTGGGCAGAGACTCAACCTGGACTGGCTTAGGAGATGGTCAGCTGGCTATGTGTGTGAGGCTTCAGGGCTGTTGGCTCAACTATGGCAGCCTAGGTTCAACTCTGGGATTCCCTAAAGTACATACAGGGCTGCTGAAGCAAGCCCATGGGCCAAACCTAATCCATCATCTGATGTGTGAATAATAAAGTTTTATTGGTATACAGTCCCACATTCCCATCTTTACAGTATTAAAGCAGATAGCTAAGTAGCAGCTGGAGGCTGGGTAGGCCTCAGACCTTTAACAGCCAACCCTCTGGCCCTTTAGAGAAAAGTGTTTGCAGCTTCCTGCCTCAGAGTTTTAATCAGCAGGACCTGAACAATGTCAGCTTCACTGTTAACATTGGAAGGGCCTATGGGGGCTGGGACCCTAGTGGCTCATGGGAGCTCCATCATGGAAGTGGAAGTATTGGGGTGTGGACGCAAAGTTAGGAGGACATAAGGAAAGCAGAGAGTGAAGAGATGCAGAGACCCCCCCCCCCCAGTATCTGCCCTGGTTGAGAGGATTAAAAGCATGCAGGAAGGAAGGGAAGGTCTGCCCAGGTTGGACTACAGGGTGTGCAGGATGCCTGGCAGGTTCCGGTGAGGCAGACTTTGTGTCAGGAGCCCAGACCTGGAGTCTTAATAAGGCATGGACACACCCATGTTTTCAGAAGGGGCTGAGTAGGACTGGATGGGACTGGATAGGCAGGAGGAGGCAGGCCCAGAGAGAAGCAAGAAGCCCAGTGCTTCTGGGTGACCACTCTCCTGTCTGCCCACAGCATCCATAACGGAGTGATAGCTGTCTTCCAGCGCAAGGGGCTGCCTGACCAGGAGCTCTTCATCCTCAACGAGGGTGTCCGGTGAGTGCAAGCCAGTCCTGTCTGGGAAACCCATCTGTGTGGCCGGGGCTGGGGAAGGGAGGGTCCACACCCCACTGTCCTGGGGACGCCCTTCTAGGGCCAGCAGGGTGGGACTTCAGCGGCTTGAGATAATGTCCACATTCCCTGCTGCCTGGTGCATTACAGAGGATATTTATTCTGTCAAAGAGGAAGGGCCCACCTGCTTAATGACCCACTGCCATTCAGGAAACAGTCCAGCCACGAACACCCCTCATTTCCTGTGACTAGCTGGGAACCAAGTTGTAAGGCTGCTGAGGATGGGGGAACGTTCTCAGACTACTGCTGCAAACCAGGCCACCGTGGCTTTGAGAAAATTTGCGTTTGTAGTGGAAGAGGCTAGAGTTCAGGGTGGTCATGCTGCCTCCCCAGGATCACACAGCTGGCACAATGAGGTGTTTCCGCTCCGCACTGTTAACCTTTAGCCTTGATCCAGAGCACACTGTCCCTACTTTCAAAGTGTATCTGGAAGTCAGCAGCGAACCTTCTTGGTAGTGAAGGCAGGGTGTAAAGATAAATGGGTCAGAGTTCAACAACCCCACACCCACCTGAAAGGGCCCTTATATGAGTAAACTGAGGCCCAAGGCACAAAGTGGGCTGGCCAGAGTCAAACAGAGCAGAGCAAGGTACTTCCCTAGGCCCTGTGCTTGTGGCTTATTGTGGCACCCTGCTGTTCCCAGCCCATCTGGCCAGCCCAGGGTACCCATTTTTCTTATGTCTTATAACAAATCTAAACAATCTGCTGGCCAGTCAGTGCTTGACCAGTGAAGAGCTCTTGCATGGCATGTGCGAGGCCCAGTTACATTACCAGCACCATACACAGGGAAAGAATCTGCTTGGAGCAGAGGGCAAAGGGGATACCTTTTAATCCACAGAGTGGGTGGAGCCCAGCACTGTGCATCTCTCTTGGCCCTTCTGATTGTGGCTGCCATCTCTTCTCTAAGAGGCCTCTAGTCCTTAGGGGTTGCCCTGATCCCTAGGATGGGTTAGGGAGGGTAAGGTTTACAGAAGCCACCCTATGTCCCAGTTCTGACTAGAAAGTGAGTCAAAGTCAGGGTGATGGAATATAAACTCGGAGTAGCTGCCTTTTCACCAGCGCAAAACAAAATGCCAGGATCCTCACATAATGGCAACTGGTTTTCTCGGTGAAGCCTGTCTGTACTAGCATGCACTGAGCACTTGAGGTGCCTTGAACCCCCTCCACCCACCATAGCCCTCAGGTCCATGCCTTCATGTCTGTATTTTATAGATGGTCACTGGCTGGCAGTTGAGTGGCTTTCTGACTGAGCTAGAATCCAGGTCCCAACTCCAGGGTCCGTGGCCATTCAGAAATGTCCCTTTCCACTCTAGCTCTCCTCCACATTACATTAACTAGGTCTAGGGCTGGGACTGTGGCTCAGGTGGTAGAGTGTTTGCTGATCACACGTGAAACCTGAGTTCCAACCCCAGTACTGAATGTCAGTGATTCACACCTGTAACACAGAAGACCAGGAGTTCAAGGGCATCCTCAGCTATATATCAAGTTTAAGGCCATCCCGATGTATCTGAGACCCTACCTCAAGTAAAAATTAACTGCAACTGATTGTGCTTCAAATGCCTAGCTGATCATTGGCTTTGATCCATTGAGAGAGTCCATGGATGGACCCATTAATGGCTGCATACAAAGTTACCCACCACCCTAGTAGGGCCTAGTTAGTGACATGGACAGGGGTCTGTCGGCTGTTCCTCGGTAGGGACAGTCACAATTAAAGTCTCTGCCGTTTGCATCACTCTTTTCTCCCTTTATATGTGCGTGCGTACATATACATATGCATGCATATGTACCTAGACCACATGTGATTTGGGCACAGGAAACATGTGCATCCCAAGACACTTCCACCATGTGGGATAATCAGAGTGTGCCTTCATAAAGCCAGATGGTAAATCCAGCTGCATGCCTGTGGTGCAGAGTGTAGCCTGCCTAGCACTTCCCAGACACCAGCAGGTCACTGTCCTGAGCACCAAGACTCTGACATGATGCTATGTGTTACCGACAAAGTACAGAGATGCTCAGTGGTGTGAATTTCCAGCCCCATGATGCACCTGCACAGCCACTGTCTTCAACAGACCACCACATGGCTGTGTAAACTTTTATTCACTGCAATTCATATACCATAAAATTCCCTTAAAATGCTCTGGTATGTGTTGACTGTGAATATGTGGTTGTATGATTGTCACTGAACTTCCAGTTCATTTTGTATCACTCCAAGAGAGTCACTCCCCTTTAACAGCCTGGCAAGCATGTCCACTTCCTGTCCCTATTGACTCCTCTTTTGGACATTTCATATGAATGGCATTTCATGACAGCATGTGGCCATTCCCGTGGTGCTTCTGAAGTCTGGCTGTGTTGGAGCCTAGATTTGTGATAACACTGACTTGCTCCATCTGATTACCTATGTGGCCTATGGCTGTGATGGAGTGCTGGGTACCACTGCTGAGAGCATCCTTGTACAAAAGGTTTGGGGGTTTTCATTTAGTTCTGGGTTTTGTTTATGTTGTCTATTTGTTCTTTTGAGACAGGGTCTCATTATGAATCAGTGACTAGTCTAGAACTCTCAGTTTAGCTTTGGCTAGTTTTGAACTCACAGAGATCCTCTGTCTCTGCCTCCTGGGTTCTGGGATTAAAGGTATAGGCCACCTGGTTTATGTTTTGTTCTTTGTTTTTGCTTTGTTTTTCGGGACAGGGTCTCTCTGCATAACCCTGGCTATGGTGGAATTCGCTCTATAGACCAGGCTGGCGTCAAACTCACAAAGATCTGCCTGCCTTTGCCTCCTGAGTGTTGGGATTAAAGGTGTTGCAAAACTGCCCAGCTTGGTTTTGGTTTTAAAGAATGGATCTGGTGACCTCTATAACTAGACTAGCATTGAACTTGAGATCCTCCTGCCTCAGCCCTCTGAGTGCCATGATTATAGGTGTGTGCCTAGGTTCTGTGTTCAAGATTTTACAAGGATATGTGGTATTGTTTCTCTTAACATATGTCTGGATGCTCTGTGGGGGGGGGTCACGGTTTCAGTTTGGGGAAACTTTGCTTCCCATGGTGTTCCCAGCCTCTCACTATATTTCTTTCTGGTTGAGATTCTTAGAACACTGTGGGTGCCACAGTGGCTCCTTGTGGCTTTGGCTGGCATTTCTTGGTGACTAATGGTGTCATGCATCTTCTTTGGAGAAGCATTGGCTGGCATCCTTGGCCACATGTCACTGAGCTGTCTTTACTGTGAGTTGACTAGTTTTTAGTGTTTCTTGTTCTAATCAGTCTATCAAGCCTGCTGCTCTTGAGCCACATGCATCCTTGGATACCTATGAATGCAGGCCAAACAATTCATAATGATACCCCCATAGCACTTTGTCAAGTGACTGAACACCCCTGGTGCTTCCTTCAATCTCTTCTCCATAGCCCATAGCCCTTCACCTTCTCCTTGGCTTCTCTCAGAGCACAGAAGGTTGGCTTATAGTTGAGGAAAGCAATTCCCCATCTTTTTTTTTTTTTTTTTTTTTTTTTTTTGTAGTGGTCATCCTGCCTCTGCCTACCTCTGAGTGCTGGCATTACAGCTGACACACCATGCCTGGTCAGGTTACATTTTTAATCCCACAAGACTAGGGAGCCAACTTTGGGTCCCCAGGCCTGACTCTGCCTCGTTATGTGCCTTCTGAATTTCAGTTTCCCCTTATGAAGACTGCTCACTGTGAGTTTAAGATCGGCCTAGGCCCATAATGAGTTGGAGACCAGCCTGAGCTACATACCAAGGCCCTGTCTAAAACAAGTAGATGAACAAACTTACAGGAATGGCTCTGTAGTATGGCATGTTCAGAGCTTCCCACTTCCAACACAGTCATTGTTTTTCATCCTCCATACAAGATTTAGTAAATTGCCTGAGTCAGTACTTTGTGTCAGTTTGAATCAACAGGAGAATGAGCATGCCCTGAGCATGTCCAAGATGGGCCCAGACGTGCCGGTTGTGTTCACAATCTCCTAAGGGATGGATGTGTCCACTGCACCCAGTTTTGTGATGTGCCATTTTCAGCTTGCTGTGCATATGTGAGGACAGCACCCTGTCCACCTGGCTGTGCTTGCTTTTGCTTCTTTTGGTCATTTCCTCTTTTTGTTACGTTTTGTGTTTGTTTTGAGTTTTAGCCCTCATAGGTTTCCAGTTCCTATGCAGCTTGTCCTTATTTTTGTGTTTGCAGTTCTGGGGGCTGAGCCCAGGGCCTTGTTCTTGCATGACAAGCTCTCTACTACTGAGCCTCTTTTCCAGCACCTGGTTTGTCTGTTTTTATAAAGCATCTTGTGGGAGTTGTTACTGGAAGACATGTGCTTGGTTGAGTGTGAACTGAAGGGCAGGAGATGGAGACCAATCACTGAGCAGCTTTGAAGAAAGTGCCAGGCCCAGCTACCAATCAGGATGGGGAGGAGCTTGTACTGTAGTCACTCACTGAGGCAACTGAAAGACCATGCTGTTGGGGATGGTGTTGTTTAAGCAGTGTAACTAGGGTTTGTGTGTATCGGAAGTATGATGGGTGAGTGTTACCTGTGATTCAGGAATAGTTACATCCCCCAGGTGGAAATAGCAGCCAGAAAAGTTAGGACTCCTGCTTGGTTTGGCTTAGTACATGAAGACTGTGGATGTCAGGGGCTGTATTAGTTTCCTTTCTGGTGCTGTAATTAAATACTGTGACCAAAAGCAACCAACAGAAGGACGTCTTTACTTGTCTTGCACTGTAGAAGAATAAGAGGTTATCATGGTGGAGAAGCATAAAGGGGCGGGCCTGGCGGCGGGAGCAGGAAGCCAAGAGCTCACATCTTCAAATCCCCCTCCCAATTCTTCTACCAAGGCTCCACCTCCAAAAAGTTCCACAGCTTCCTCAAACAGCGCCACCATCTGGCGACCCTTGTGTTCAAGGATCCGAGCCCATGGGGATATCCTCATTCAAACCCTCACAGTAGCCATACTTCTCCAGCATGCGATCAGGGCGGGAAATGACCCCACTAGAAACAGGCAGTCCTGCTCACCAAGTAGAGGTTTTTGTGTTAATCTGTGGCTCACCCTCTCAGAGCTGCACCTGCCTCAGCGGTATACGGGAACCCCAGTCAGTGCCTGCCTGCCACTGGCTTCACGAAGACTCAGCTAATAAAGGGGAAGCCACTTGGGAAAGGAGGGCTGTGCCAGCTGTGGAATTTGGATGGAGCCCAGTGTTGCAGGGTCAGGCCTGCAGGTGTCTGCTTGAGGAAGTAGAGGCTGTCATGATCCCACTGGGATCCTCAGGCTTCTCTTCTGTGAGATGGGTAGAGGAGATACATAGCGACCCAGCCACTCCGTGGGTCACATGGGGGAAATATTCCTTTGGGCCACTTGTGTTGCTGTACCTAGCAGGTTGGTCCCTGGCTGCCTGGGTGTTTCCAACCCTCACCAGCACTGTATGATCTCAACTCATTCTCGTCTCCCCTCCCCCATAGGCAGTTGCTGAAGACAGAGCTGGGATCCTTCTTCACTGAGTACTTGCAGGTATGTGGAGGAAGGCTTGATCAGTCCCTCAAAGGGTGTCTCTATTATCATATGACCTGTGACTGCCCGAGCAGGCTCAAGGCTTGTCTCTCAGGATGAATGGGGTTTTGACTGTGTGACAAGAGGGTTGGTCTTAGGTCTTGGCTGCATGTTGGTGAACTCCTGGGGGTCCCATGGGCCAGACCACCCTGGAATAGCTGCAGGTCAGTGATGACACCTTTGTTCTCTTTCAGAACCAGCTGCTCACAAAGGGCATGGTGATCCTTCGTGACAAGATACGCTTCTACGAGGGTGAGTCTGGGGGATGAGTGTAGCCAGCCCGACTACAGCCTGGTTGTGGTTGACATTCTGGGACAGTGGTATGACAGGTGCTAGAAAGAGGGTGGCTTTCTGCTTAAGATGGCTGGAAAGGAAAGAAACAGCTTTGGGCAACAGGACTAAGAGAGGACCTTGGAGAGGGTCTGTTCCCCATACTTGGGAGCCCAGGAAGGCTGTGCCACCCTAGGGAAAAGCCCTGTGCTCATCTCACTACCCACAGGGACCATGACCCTCAGCTTCTCTTCACTGTGACAAAGCCAGTACGTCAAAAGGATAACCTACTTTCATTCCTGTTGCTGTGATAAAACACCCTGCAAAAAGCAACTTAGGGGAGAAAGGGTTTATAATTCCAGGCTTATAATTCCAGTAGGCCATCACACATGCACAGTCACAGTAAAGATCAGAGAGGTGAACGCATGCATGCTGCTATCTGCTGCACTCGGCTCTCACACAGTTTAGGATCCCCTGCCTAGGAATTGGTGCCACCCACAATGGGCTGGGTCTTCCTATACCAACTAACAAGCAAGGCCCCACAGGCATACCCATAAACCAGCCTGATCTAGATAATTTCTAATTGAGTCTCTTGCTGTTTGATTATAAATTGTGTCAAGTTGGCAAAGCTAACCATCACAAAAGGACAGGGTTTATATTTTCACTCACAGTGTCAGAGGTCCTGGGACACTAGACCTTAACATGTTGATTCTGAGAGCCAATGCCATGTCAGAGAGCATGTGGCTTAGCAAAGCTGTTCACCAGGAACAGCTTCTGTGGCCAGGAAGCAGAGAGACAGGAAGAGGCCAGAGGCAATGAGTACCTTTCATGGGCCTTCCTGCAGTACCTCAGTTATGTTTCTTGATGCCATGGCAAAAGCAGCGTAAGGAAAAGCATATTTTGCTCACAGTCGGAGCCTGCAGCCCATCGTGGTGGGGAAAGCATGGTGGCAGAGACAGGTCACATGGCACACACAGCTAGGAAGCAGAGAGATGAATGCTGATGTTTACCTCACATTCTCCTTTTCACTCGGTCCAGGACCCCAGCATCTGGAATGGGGTCCTTTCACCTCGGTTAACCCAACCTGGAGAGAGGATACATCTCCTATTCTGAATCTTGTCAAGTTGATAGTCAGTGTTAACCATCACACCCGCAACCCACTTCCTCGTCCTAAGCCCCACCTTCTAAGGCACATTCAACTCTGAACTGGTCAGTGGTCCATCACATGATGAAACCAGCGCCCTCATGTTCCAGTCACATCCACAGTGCCACTGGCTATGGACCACACCATCAACCAACACATGACCTATTTCAGGGGCTGCCTTATACCCAGACCATAACAGGGACCCATCCGTTGTCTGAGAAATAACCATGTTGAGTCTTTGAATGTCCAAAGACCAGAGAACTAGATTATGGCAAAGGTCATTGTTCCTACATGGGAATAGAGACAACAGGCAATTTGTTCACAGCCACATTACAGGGAAGGGACTGAGGCAGAATTCAAGTCTCGGTGTGATGGAAGGGCACCCTTAGTCCTTTCTCAGGCTCCATAGTCCAGCCAGCCTCCCTGCCTGGCTCAACCTACATCATGGAACTAAAGGCTTTGACCTCCTGATTCCAGTACTTGAGGCCCCTGGAGTCTGGTAGTCTTAGGGAACCCAGGAGGAGCTGGGCACTGTGGTGAGGCAGTGGACTTGACATATACAGACTCCCCTTTGCAAATTTCTGCTGTGTTCCAGGCCTTGTGAGCATGTGTAGAGTCCACATGTGCCAGGTCCTATGCAGGCTCTGGTAAGCAGCATTTGATGAGCACCTACTATATCCCAGGTCCTATACTGACTTCAGGATGTGAGCATTTTATAAGCACCTACTTTTTGTATACTAGTACCTGTGCTAGCTTCAGCATTGAGTGGTGGTGCATGCCTCAAGACAAAGGCAGGAAGATCTCTATGAGTTCGAGGCCAACCTGTTCTACGTATTGAGTTCTAGGACAGTCAGGATTACTCAGAGAAACCCTGTCTCAGAAACCAAACCAAACAAAATACCCAGAAAAATAAAAATGAGAAAGAAAAAAAAAAAAAAAAAAAGGAAGAAGGGAGAGAGAGAGAGGGGTGAGAGGTACTTACTGTGGCCTAGTGCTGTGCTGGCTGACAGGGTTTTCTGAGCGCCTCTCATGGGCCAAGCACCAGATGTCTTCTCCACTAGGCTATGTCCTTGTTGGTTTGCTTCTGCTGACTGGGTGGACACCCCAGCATCCCTGGGAAGGAGCCATAAATACTCGATCCTACTTGGGTTGCACTGGACGCATGGCAGATAGATGGCTTTCTTAGCCTACTCAAGTAAGTCATTGCTCTAGGTTCCTCCTCCAAGTGCTGAGCCCTGGGCAAATGGCTGTCAACCCACTTCAGAGAATGGGGGCCTGAGGCCTAGAGCTCTGCCTCACTCCAAGGGATCTCCTGCGTGTGTCAGATAAGGCAGGCCAAGGCAAGAATGAGAAAGCCTGAAAACAGTGGGTGTGGTCAAGAGGCCCAAGGCAGCCTAGGGCTTCCTGGAAAAGGCAGTAGCCAAGCCCTAGGATGGCGCTGTGAATATTTGGCACCTGAGGAAGTGGCCTCCCACACCCTCCTGACCCTCCTGACTCAGCACATTCCCTGAAGTGCCTGTGCCTCCCACCAACGTGGCCCAGGGGAGCCAGGTCCTGGGAGAAGGGCATCTTTGTGGAGCCTCGTGACTGTGATTGAGGGCTTTCCAGGGAAAGGGAAAAGGGTGCCCTGACACGTACTGTCCCACTAGGCCCAGGGAAAGCAGCAAGCTCCAGGCATCTGTGAACACATCGTGGGTATCACATATTGCAGCCTCCCGGCCCTCAGGGCTCCAGGGAGTCTCCCTCAACCTAGAGATGGAAAAGATACAGGCCCTACCCTGCAGGGACTTGGAACTGAGGACTGAGACATAAACCAGATGTTGACAGGCTAGGGAAGCTCTGGGGAAGAAGGAAGCATGACTCCGTCCTGTGTGGAGCTGTGTAGCGGCCTCCGAGTGTGGTGGTCTCAGGGGCTTATCCATCCCTTTCAGTCACACCGCTGCCCTGTGGGTCGGCCATGCCCTCAGCCCATAACTGCTGGAAGGGACACATGGAGGCAGGTGGTAGCCTCCAGAGAGCAGTCTGAACCTGCGCACCGGTCCCCTCTCTGCAGCCTCTAATGAGGCCTCAGTCATCATCTTCCAAACTGGGAGGTTCCTGGAGTCAGGAGCCAGCTGGAACAGGAGTGCTCACTGCAAAGGAACAGTCTTGCACCTCAGAAGGTTCCCAGCTCAATACCAAGGAGGCCACAGGGGTTTGCTGCTGCTGAGGCTGGGGTCTGTCTCTTCTTGCCCAGGAGCCAAACTCAGTGTAGCTTATATGTGTGTCTGTGCACCCAGCGCTCTTCTCCTCTCTCCCTGCCTGCCTGCCTGCGCCCATGCCACAGCCCCTGCAATACAACATTAGTCCCCACCTCCATCATTTCTCTACGGACATCACCATCCCTGGAACCTTCCCTGCATGCTGGCGGGGAGCTGTACCCGCCTGCCTCTCTCCTGTTGGTTCTTGGGGCTGAATAAAGGAGAGACTGACTGCCCAGTGAAAGCCATCATGAAGCCTCAGCCTGGCCCTTCACTGAAGCTTCTTGCTCCACCTCTGGCTGGGGCCCAGGCAGGGAGCACACATTTACTGGCTGTGTCCTACCACCAGCAAACACAGGGTACCTTGTCATTGAACCCTGGGCACTTACCCTGTTCCTTACATAGAGGGTGCCTCTGGGTTTGTCTGAAAGAATTTTCTGGGGTTCCACCACAGCCATAGAGCAAGGCTTCAGCCTTCATGTCTGACTTTAGCCTCTACTGACCCAACTCCCTAGCACACAGCCCAGGCCACAGTCCCAGGCAAGAACCCAGCCAGGGACCAGGCTACCCTTCCGGCTCCAGCTGGGGCCTGGATTCTGTGTTTTACAACATCTGCTTTCTGTGGTGTGTCCGTCCTGTAGGCTGGAAGACGACCTTCACTTGGTGGCACACTGCCCTGGCCAGCGCCCAGGGCCACCCCACAGCCAGCCAGGACTGAACAGCCTTTCTTCCTGTATGAAGGGACTTTGTGTTCAGGCAGAGCTCCGAGGGGCCGTGAGCATCCGCCTGCCCCGGGCATTCCTGCAGCCTCCTTGCCCCTGGAGCCAGGTGTGGGCCACCCAGGAGTATTAGAGCTGTCCGCCAGCAGGCCACACACAGAGGCCTGCCTGCTCCTGGGGCCAGCTCTCTGTATCCACCACATACTCTCTTTGCATGGACCTGGGGCTTTCCATGAGGGAGAGTTCCACAAGTACTGGAAAGCTAGGCAAAGACCTTAGCAGGCTTCCTTGTTCCCATAGAAACCTGGAGACAGACAGGCTGGCCAGCAGTCAAGGACCCTTCCCTCCGTGCTCAAACCCACATGGTGGCAGAGGCCTATGGGACACTGGGACTGTTTACTTCCAGACCCAGTGGCTATATGTCTCAGCTGTCTACCCTGGTGACAGGTTCCTAAGTCTGCAAGCCACAGAGTCATCTTGAGGCACCTAACTGCCCCATTTCCTGATGGCTACCCACCTGGCATGTGGTGCCACTCTACCTGAAGCCATCTGAGCTCCTCCAGCTTATCTGAACTCCAGTTCCCCACACAGTTGCTTCTTTCACTTGGTAGGGGTGGGTGTTATATGCCCAGCCTATCCATCTCAAGCCAGCTCAGACACCAGATAACTCCTCCAGGAAGTCCTCCCTGCCAATCCCTATCTCCCACAAGTCGGCTGGGATGTTGTGCCCTGGGCCCTTGAGAGGGAGCCAAAGACTGTAGCCTGTGTCACTGACCCTGAAGGCCACCCTTTACCCATTGTCCACCCTAAGGCTGTTCTGTATCCTGCTTCCCTGCTAGATAGTAGGGGGTGTCCAGAGCCATTGGGGGCTTGACTATCCTCAGTGCCCAAGACAGGGCCTGTCCCACTTAGGGGTTCTCTAAGTGGATGGATGGGGAAGAAGTAGACAGATGAAAGGGTCTGTGCCAGTGCCTGCACAGGCATACATACATGCTCAAGGCAGGACAGAAATCAGCTGCCAACATTCACCATCACTTGGCCTGACTGAGCATCTTCATGACTTAGTCTCATTTTGTTCCATCTGCTCTAGAGTGTAAGTGTTGTCACGTGCCCACTTGACAGGAGCTCAGGGTGGCAGAGAACTACTCTATGCTGGGGCAGATGCCTCTGCAAGGCCTCGGGGACCTCCCACTCTTGCTTAGCTCCTTGTCCTAGATGGGTCTGCTAGTGTGTTCAAGACATGCTGTGATGGCTCCTCTTGCCCACAGGACAGAAGCTGCTAGATTCACTGGCGGAGACCTGGGATTTCTTCTTTAGTGACGTGCTGCCCACGCTGCAGGCCATCTTCTACCCTGTGCAGGTATATGGCTGGGTATGTGGGGGTGAAGGGAGTCTCAGTTGTCCAAGATACACTCTGGGAACCTGGGATGGATCCAGGAAGGACTCCAGGCTTGATGCCCTCTGCACTAACCCAGGCTATCCCTTACAGGCCAGCTGAGCCTGGCATGCCTGTGACTCCTCAGGTCCCATAAGGCCTAGAGTGAGGAAGCCTAGTGGAGCTGGGCCCTAGATGGCAGAGAAAGCCCTACTAGGGGAGGCTACAGGGTATCTTAAATCTTTGTGGCAGGGTTTGTGTGGGAGCGAGAATGGGGGGCAGGCTGGGTGTCACTGGGGCCCATTCCCATATCCCACCCCCAACCTGGGATAGAGAGAGAAAACTGCATGATAGCAGTAGGACCAACATGCCTCTTCCTGTGTCCACAGGGCAAGGAGCCTTCAGTCCGCCAGCTTGCCCTGCTGCATTTCCGGAACACCATCACCCTCAGTGTGAAGTTGGAGGACGCGCTGGCCCGCTCTCATGCTCGCGTGCCCCCTGCCATCGCACAGATGCTGCTGGTACTGCAGGTGGGACAGGGTTTGGGGACCCAGGACTCTGAGATTGGAAGATGCTAGAGACCAACTGAGCAGGGAGTAGACAAATAAGGCTTTGGGGCCAGGGTATGAAGCAGACAAGGGTTACTTATTCATGGCAGCAGCTGGCTTCTGTATGTTTAGTTACCAGGGCAGCCCCCCCACACACACACACACTCTTGTTCCAGACATTGGTACAGATGGATTTCATCAACAAAGCTAGCTCTAGTGAAGGGACAGTGGCCAGGTAGTATACTGGAGTAAAGAGACCTGCCCTAGGACAGAGGAGTTTCGGGCCACCTACACATGTGGCCTACATCTAACATGTCCTCTTACAGCTTGTCAGCTCTCTGTACTGAATTCTCACTTGCAACCCTCAGAACTTTAGAGGGTACCACCAACTGCTCCATTTTACTAACAGGGAAACATTTTACTTTGTGGAAGGGTGGCCTCGCTTGGATTCTCACAGGCACCAAAAGTCTCGTTGTAGTAAGTCCCTTGTACATGTGGAAATCCTTTTAAAGTTAGGGTTTGTGGGGTCAGGCCTCGGCAGAAGGAAATGGTAAAGGTTTCAGAGCACGTAACAGGCTGCAGTTTGCAGGGTCAAGGGGCTGCCCTGGGTCAGGGGCTGTGGTCACCTTGGAATGAAGCCAAGTGCAGGCCTTTGGGTGGAATTTCCATAGACTGGGCCTGGCCTGACAGGGAGAGATGGAAGTCTGGTCACTGGTGCTGGGGCCTGGGATTCCACTGGAGGAGACAGTGAGTGCCCAGAGTGGTGCTGCCCCCTGCTGGCTACTGTGCCTCCTGGCGTTGCCTGGCTCTGATTCTAAGTCCTAGCATAGCCTCCTTACCACACAGGGTTCCATTGTCCCACCAGCCACCTCTCCCCAGACTGAGTGGCCTTGCCCTAAGATTGTGAACTTGTCCCCTGACCTCACCTTGATCCCAAGGTGAACCTGGCCCCTCACTGTTTCAAGTCTTGAGTTGCTCTGAGATCACAGCTGCTGGTCAGTGTGTACTGAGGGCCTACTGTGTGTCCCTGCCTGACCTCCAGGATCACAGCTCCTACTGGGGTACTAATCACACTAACAGCCATGTGTGATTCTTACTTGTGCCATGAGCAGTGGAGATGTGAACTCATAAAGTTTATAGGAGTGTATGGTCAGGGTGTGGTGGCAAACACCTGCAATCCCAGCCCTCGGGAGTCAGGGGCAGGAGGGTCTACCTCATGTTCAAGGCAGCCTCAGACACATAATGAGACCTAATCTCAAAAAGACCTACCTGTGCCCCTCACCCTCCCCAACCTCCAGTCAGGAGCAGTGATGTGGAACCTCTGGTGATAAGCTTGGTTCTGTCTCTCACAGAATCACCCAGGGCCCCAGGACACCAGTGCCAGTGACTATAGTGTAAATCTCCTCATGTGGTTATAGGTCGCCCAGCCACAGAGGAGACTGCAGCAACATCTTCCTACCTGGGACTCATCCTGGGGAAGATGGGGTAGAGACAAGCTGCTGCTGGACCAGGGTTGTGACCCCTCCTTCTCTTTCAGGGAGTACACGAGTCCAGGGGTGTGACTGAAGACTACCTACGCCTTGAGACACTGATCCAGAAGGTGGTGTCACCGTACCTGGGCACCTATGGCCTCTACTCCAGCGAAGGGCCCTGTACCCATTCCTGCATCCTTGGTGGGTGCTTCCTGGAGCAATGGTGTGGGCAAAACCAGGATCCCACAGGGAACCAGCTACAGTCACACAGCCAGTCTACCCGTGCACCTGCCTGGCCCTGCCATGTGCAGATCTGGACCCCCAGAGTAGAGGAGCTGTTGGAGGGTAGCAGGCAACCCCCAGAACAGTGATAGCTTTCTACAAAGGCCCATCACACATCCCCTAGATGTTACATCTATAGGGGCTCAGGGAGGGATTAGGTAAAGGAGGCCCTATAGAGCTGGGTGGGTCCCTCAGAAGCTGACCATGTCATTGCTTGTTCATTCAGCAACATCTTTTGCGTGCCTACTGCATACCAGCCCAGAGATCAACCTACACCCTCCTTTATAGTTCTGGTCTAGCAGGGAATATATGTGAGTTCCCATAGTGACCACTGGGATGCAGGAGGGGATGTTGGCTAGATCATAGGAACAGACCAGATGGGGTTAATTGGCTCCCCATCATCTGGGCTGCTGCACAGGGTGTAAAACCCTAGTATGGAGTGTGCCTCAGCTGAGGCGATTCAGAGCTGGAGGGCTTTGCACCTCCTGGGTCCTGTTTGGCTGTAGACAGAAGATACCTATTGACCAAGAAGGCAACCCCTCCTGGCCAGAGAGGCTCCCTGACAGAGCTTGCCGTACTCAGGAGTGCCACCCTATGGTCACTATTGGGCATTGCAGAGTCCTGCTTGGAAGCCTTTCTCCTACATGGCCAAAGGGATTCTGCTCTGTCCTCACTCCCTACAGCCTATGATTCTACACAGCTAGTGAGGTCTATAAACAGCTGCTTCATAGCACTGCCACACCCTGCAGCTCCTCCATGCAGGCTTGTCCCCTGAGTGCCAGCCTGTAAGAACAGGAGCCCAGTCTAACCTAGGAAAGCACTGTTACCTAAGATCCATAGGCTCCTGTGGATGAGGAAAACAAGACATGGATGTATGACTGACATGGGGTCATTCACAGGTCACTGACAGCTTGCAGATTTGAACCTGGGCAGCTGAGGTCCCACTGCCTGTTCAGGCAAAGGCTTGGGTTGTTAAAGTTCTCCAATTAGAGCAGGAACTTGTACCCAGGGGCTAGTGAGGCTGATCCAGAACTGGGGGCCACTGAGCCTTTTACTGGCCCTTCTGTGGGTTAGACACTTGAGAAGCCTCTGCCCAGAGGTCAGGCTTGGGACATAGAGGGAACATGTGGATCAGCAGCCACCATCCTGGTATCTGTGACTGTGTCTGTTCCTGCAGAGAAACGGCTCCTGCGCCGCTCCCGCTCTGGAGACGTCCTAGCCAAGAACCCGGTGGTGCGCTCCAAAAGCTACAATACACCCCTGCTCAATCCCGTGGCTGAGCATGAAGCAGAAGGCACAGCAGCTGGTGGCACAAGCATCCGTAGGCACTCGGTCTCTGAGATGACATCTTGTCCTGAGCCCCAGGGCTTTGTGGACACACCTGGCCAGGGCCCTTCAGGGACCTTCAGGTCCTCTCCAACACCCCACTCAGGGCCTTGCCCCAGCAGACTGTTCCCCCCTGCCCATTCCCCAGAGCAGGGCCCAGCCCACGGCTCTCCACCCACCTCCAGCCCTGAGACACTGGTGGACCAGATCCTGGAGTCCGTGGACTCAGACTCTGAAGGAATATTCATTGACTTTGGGCGGGGTAGTCGCTCCAGTGTGTCTGACTTTGATGCAACCGGAAGCCGGCCAAGTATTGTGTGATGGCCTGAGGTTCGTTCATGTTTTTACTGGCCCCTGTTTGTTTGTGTGTGCGTGGATGTGTGTGTGAGAGACTTGTTCACCAGCCCCCTTGTCACTGACTTGGTCACTGTATATTCCCAGTCTGCGTACCCCAGGTCTGATTGAATGTCCCGTTGGTACCACCCAGATGACCCTCAAAGATGGGGTCACCGTGTGTCCTCCTGTCTGCCCCGCCCTTGGTGCCCACACCTACCCAGGAAAATGTGAAGCCAGTAGGTTCTGCCTATGCCAGCCCAGCTTGGCCCCCATAGAGATGGGACTCAAGCCACAGCCAGACCTGCCTCCCTCTGCCCTGGGTGGCCACCAAACAGGAAGGCATGAAATAAAGTTACAGTTCTGGGTTCCCGTCTTCCCCCTGGTGTCCTTCTGGGACCCCCCACCTCACCCTCCTGCCAGGGCACATTCCCAAGCTAAGGCCATGGACACTTGCCCATTGTCCACTCTTGTACTTGTTTTCAGGTCCAATGTTGCTATGTCATCTTGATGGACGGGCCCAGAAAGCATACAAGGTATAAGTCAGGTCCCTGGTCCCAGACCCACACATTAGCTGGGAGTGACCCACTGCATTAGGGGGGGGGGTCACATGGGACCTCCAGATCTTGCTCTTCTTTGTGTGTGGGTTGCTGAAGACCCTGGTGTGGTGGGAGGGGTGGTCCAGTGTTCCCAGTTGCTCTAGGAGTAGTTCTCTACCTCCAGAAAGTTTTACCCAGAGTCTGAGGGTGGTTAGGACCTCCCTGGTCTGCAAATGGGCTGGTTCCACAGCCTGGTAAATGGGCATAAGTGTTCTTGAGCTCTGGCAGGATTGCTGTAGACTGGCCCAGCAGCTTAGCCTGACAAGCCATGCCTGGAGTAGAACTCTGTTGAGCTCCTCTTTAAAGAGCCAGGGGAGTGTGGTCCTCCTTGGTCACATGCTGACCCCTGTTCCAGTTCCTTCACAGCACCCAGGTCTTGATTGTCTTCTGTGAATAACAAGCAAATAACAGACTCAGGGGCAGGGTGTCCAGATCTGGCCATAGTCTAGGAAGCAGCTACTTCATGCTGAACTGCAAGGCTTTGTGGATCCAGGGGATCTGCTGGAATGTTAGGACAGAAGGTCCCCCTGTCTCCCAGGATGAGAGAAACACCTTGTTCCAATCAGGTGGCCTGCTTGAACTTCAATGCTGCCTGTGGTAAGCGCACATGCTGAACTCACAGGGTGTCTTAGGATCGGTATTGCTGCAATGAAACATGGCCCAAAAGCAATCTAGGGAGAAAAGGGTTTATTTGGCTTACATATCCAGACTCTCACAGTCTATTGAAGGAAGCCAAGGCATGAACCTGGAGCCAGGAGCTGATGCAGAGGCCATAGAGGATTGCTGCTTGCTCTTCTTGGCTTGTTTGGCCTGTTTTCTTTCTTTGTTGTTTTGAGACTGGGTCTGGCTGTTCTGGAACTATGTAGTCCAGGCTGGCTTCTCGGGTGCTAGGATTAAAGGCCTATACCACCACACCCAGCTCAGTCTGTTTTCTTATAGCACCCAAGACCAGGGGTGACCCCTCCCACAATGGGCTGTGCCCTCTCCAATCAGTAACCAATTAAGAAAACAGTGTTGCCTGCCACCCAATCTTATGGAAATGTTTTCTCGGTTGAGATTCCCTCCTCAGATGACTAGCCTGTGTCAAGCTGCCATAAAACTAGCCAGCATACAGGGCTTTTGAAAAATGCTCCCCAGGGACCCCAGGGGAGCAAGAGTCATCCCAGCCTCAAGTCAGGCAGGGCATCAGGCAGGACCCTGAATCTGGAAAAAATGTGCAAAGTCCTGGCTAGAAGTTAACTGGGTTGCTGTGGGTTCTCAGTGAAGTGGGATAGTCCTGGAACCTAGCTAAACAGTGCCACCCAGCCTCCCTCAACACTAGCAAGTTTCATCTTCAACCCTCACTTCTGTTAAACTCCTTTGAGAGATGGAAGTAAAATTGCAGGCAGAGGCTTCCACTGTGTGGGGTGTTCTGTAAGCCAATTGGGCAGTGATAACCAGGTGTTAGGATTCTCTGGAGGAACAGAACTGATAGACTATATAAAAGAAATAGACTCTAAGTCAGGCAGTGGTGGCGCACGCCTTTAATCGTAGAACTCAGGAGGCAGAGGCAGGTAGGTCTCTGAGTTTGAGGCTGGCCTGGTCTACAAAGCAAGTTCCAGGACAGGTTCCAAAGCTACACAGAGAAACCCTGTCTCAAAAAAAAGGGAAACAAAACAAAACAAAAACAAAGAAGTAGGCTTTAGTATCATTGAAGGAATGGACCCACCAGCAAAAGTGAGAGCAAGCAGGCAAAGAGATCAAACTTCCTTCCACAGTCCTCTTTTTTATAGGCTACCGCCAGATGGTATAGCCCAGATTAAAGGTAGATGTCCCCACCTCAAAGACCCAGATTTAAAAGGGGGGCTTCCCACTTCAAATGATTTAGTTAAGAACAAAATCCCTCACAGGTGTGTCCAACTGCTTGGGTTTTAGTTAATACCAGATGTAGTCAAGTTGACAACCGAGAATCGCTATCTTACCTGGTGTACAGAGACTGGCACACCAGGATGTGTCACATACAAACTTATTGCTAGGATGCCTCACCCACTCCTTGGAAGAGCCCTGAGCCAGGGGGCTGAAACTTCATGTTTTCATGGTTTGTCTTCCCCACTCCAGGCAGTTTAGTCCCTCTTCCCCTGAGCTCCCAGACCTGTCCTGTGTGCTACTAAGTAGTTACTACTGGATCAGCATGGGGCCCCAGGGGAAGCCCCAGTGTGGGGCTCTCTGTGTCCTGGGCTGACTCCATTGGTTCCCTGGACCCACCTCCCTCTGCAGACCTGCATGTGTGTTTCTGCCACATGGGTTGGGAGGCAGATGTTTGTCACAAATGACAAATCCTACTAACTGACCGGAGGTTCTAGCACTGGGGAAGTTACGAAGAAGGCCTGTGCACCGCTGAGTGTCATGGGGTAGGACACAGGCCCTGCCTGTAGACCGTCAACTGAGCCTTAGTTCACGCTCCTGGAGGAGGGGAGAGGGGTAGAACACATAGTAAACAGCTCTTGGGAATTTTTTTTAAATGTTGAGTGGGTTGTGATGGCATTTGCCTTTAATCCATGTACTTTGGAGGCCAAAGCAGATAGATCTCTGTAAGTTCAAGGTCAGCCTGGTCTACATAGCCAGTTCCAAGCCAGCTAGAGTTACATGATGAAAAAATATCCTAAAACAATAATAAAACGACATTGAAAACATTTATTCAACGGAAGTGAGTCCTGGTAACTGACACTGTTAGCTGAGGTTTCCACTCAGTCTCTCGGGATCTTGCTTTGTTCTGTGCTGACTCCCAAAGGCTTCTGGGACAATAAACAGCACTGCACCCTTCTATGGAGAGGATGCTGTCTTGGCCTTTAAAAACTTGACATGTTAGAGTGTGTCCGTCTTTTTTTTTTTTTTAACTTTTTATTGATTCTTTGTGAATTTCACATCATACACCCCAATCCCAACCATCTCCTGTCCCTCCATATCTGCCCACCATCCTTGCAACTTCCTCCTCAAAAGTAAGCAAAAGTAGAAATAATAAAAAGAAAAAGTCTCGCAGTCCTTTTCGTAAGCAGTTTTGCTTGCAAATGTTCATTGCAATGAGTCGTTGGTATGGTTGCTCTGGCTTCTCCCATACTATCAATACTGGATCCTCACTGGGACGACTCTTAAATACCATGCTGTGGCCCTGTGGCATGGAGATCACACAGCTTTTGCTCTTCAGGACCGGCCCCTTCACTTGCTCCACCCAATCCTTAGATGGGATGGATGAGATGTCAGAGAGCCCTAGAAACACAATTAGGGTAGGTTTCACCCTTAGCAAGCCAAGCCCTCAGGCTCTGTTCCCATCACTAGAGTTTGCTAATACAAAGATCCCACTGCTTAAGGCTGAAGATGTGGGTCAGTGGGTAGTGCTTGCTTAATATGCATAAGGCTCTGGGTTCAATCACATGGTGACTCACACCCCAAAGTCATCCTTGTCTATATAGTGAGTCTGAGGCCAGCCTGGACTACAGGTACCCTGTCTTTTGGTTATGTTTTGTTTTTTGGAGGCAGGGTCTCACGAAGTAGCCCTGGCTGGCCTGAAGCTCACTATGTAGACCTGACTTTCAACTCACAGAGATTCCTTACCTCTGCCTCTTGAGTGCTGGGATTAAAGGTGTGTGCCACCATCCCCCACTAAACCTGTCTTAAGGGGGAAAAATCCCTTTTTCCATCAAGTTATCAGATACCATGGTTTTATCTCCTGTTTGGAGGCAAAGGCAAACCAGGTCATGGGCCTCGGCGTGGCTGATAGGAAATCAAGGTGGTTTGTGTTCTCACATGAGGGCCTGGTTAGTGTTTGTGAGAATCGGTGCTTCCCGCCCCTATTCTCCCTCACACCCACAGGACCCAGCAGGTGAGCGGGCCTTGTTACCTAGATTCCCGTTTCCTTTATCCCCACCCTGTCCCAAGTCCAGTCACCATACTTCCCAGACTGCACAGACAGGGATTAGGGCACAGTGCTCCTCCTATGCCCTCAGGATAGAAGCCACTCTGGTAGCTTGGTGATGAAGGTCATGCCATTCACAGAGAGGCGTGCTGGCCTTCCCACCATGGGAGGAACATGCTCACAAGGTACAGGATTGAACTCCTTGGTGCCCTTTTCAGCAGTCTGTCTACCTGAGTAGAGCCTCAGCTCTTGGAGCTTCCAGGTTCCCCTGCACCTGTGCCAGAGCACTGGAGGGAGGGGGAACCTCCCTCTCCCTCTCCCTCTCCCTCTCCCTCTCCCTCTCCCCCTCCCCCTCCCCCTCCCCCTCCCCCTCCCCCTCCCCCTCCCTCTCCCTCTGTTACTCTCAAACTTTTGAAACTTCTTCCAGGGACCTGGCAGCTGCACCTGCTTCCTGAAGCTCCAGGGCTCTTCCCGCCCACTCTGCTGGAAACCTCTCTCACACCCATCCCCACTCTCATGTTCACACACACATACAGATACATAATCCTACACCCACACATACATGCTTGTATACTTACCCACTCACAGTACATGTTCACACTTGCCTGTACACAGGCAAGGGGGGCCTCCTAGTCTCCCCTGGATGGGTGGGCATGCTATAGAGAGGGTCTATGACTCCTCACTCACCCCCATCTTCTCAGAGCACGCCCATCATTTGTGGACACCACTCTCTGATCACAGATTCAGGAAAGCACTGCTCTAGGCTCTGCCTGTGTTTCCAGGCCCAAACCTCAGGCAGCTTGGAGGCCACAAAAAGGACAGATGCTGGGGCGTCTAACCTTTTTTGTGGGGTTGAGACAGGGATTCTCTGTGTAGCCC